ATGTGCCATGCGTGAGGAGTCTCATGTGCCATGTGTGAGGAGTCTCATGTGCCATGCGTGAGAAGTCTCATGTGCCATGCGTGAGGAGTCTCATGTACCATGCGTGAGGAGTCACATGTACCATGCGTGAGGAGTTTAGCTTTGAGGCGCCTCAGAAATAGTCTCCTCACGGTGTGGGATATGAGGGAGCCATGTCCCATGTGCGGCTGCTCGTGTGTTCGAAGCCCCAGGTCGTGTTGGGACGTGTCTCAATACACACCTGGGGCGGGTGGCCGAGTGTCTCAATACAAGGGACCCATGCACCATGGGGCCGTGTTGCCAGTCGTCTCAATACACACCTGTGGGGGCTGGTCACGTGGCAGCAACACGTTGCGCGACTTGATGTTGCCATGGACGATGTGCGGCTGCGAGCCCACGTGCAGCTGCAGCAGCCCCTCGCCCACCGCATGCGCCACGCGCACCTGCACTCCCCATGCCACGGGCACCAGCGACCGTTGCTCTGCGGCGGGGAGAGGGATGAGGGTGGGGAGGGGATGAGGGAGCGGAGGGGATGAGGGAGCGGAGGGGATGAGGGTGGGGAGGGGATGAGGGAGCGGAGAGGGATGAGGGTGGGGAGGGGATGAGGGAGCGGAGAGGGATGAGGGAGCGGAGGGGATGAGGGAGCGGAGAGGGATGAGGGAGCGGAGAGGGATGAGGGTGGGGAGGGGATGAGGGAGCGGAGAGGGATGAGGGTGGGGAGGGGATGAGGGAGCGGAGAGGGATGAGGGAGCGGAGGGGATGAGGGAGCGGAGAGGGATGAGGGAGCGGAGAGGGATGAGGGAGCGGAGAGGGGAAAGCGAGCCCACGTGCAGCTCCAGCTGCCTCTCGCCCACCGCATGCGCCACGTGCACCCGCGCCGCCCATTCCATGGGCGCTTGCGACTGATGCTCTGTTGTGAGGGGAGGGGGGGGCAAGAGGGGTTCCGGAAGTGGCACGGGGAAGGCGAGCCCACGAGCAGCTGCAGCAGCCCCTCGCCCACCGCATGCGCCACGTGCACCCACGCCGCCCATGCCATGGGCGCTAGCGATTGTTGCTGTGTGGTGGGCGGGGGGGGGTGAGGGGGGGCGTTGGGGAAGGGGAAATGGAAGGGGAACGAGAACTCGAGAAAGGAAGCCAGTGACGATTGCCAGGCCATTGCTCGCCTCCTATTGTATGCAGCGATGCAGCATGCGTCAAGCCAGCATTGCCTCACCCGGTGCATGCAGGGGAGGAGGCAGTGGTCCATGGTGGTGGCAAACCCCAGCAGCGAGATCAGGTTGCGGTGCACCGCGTGCTCCAAGCCAGCGTTGCCTCACATGCCTCACATGCCTCACATGCCTAACATGCCTCACATGCCTCACATGCCTCACATGCCTCACATGCCTAACATGCCTCACATGCTCACCCGGTACGTGCAGAGATTCAAACAGGTCCGGAGCGTCGATGTGGTTGTAGGCGAGGAGGCACTGGTCCGTGGTGATGGCGTACCCCAGCAGCGAGATCAGGTTGCGGTGCACCACTCGCTCCAGCCCTTGTGCCTCCGCTATCGTGCCACTCACCCACGCATCCCTCTTCCTCTCCCTCTCCCTCTTCACTCCCTCCTCCCCCACCCCCCACTCCCCTCCCCTCACCTTCCCACTCCGTCTTCCCGCCACACCTCTACCTCCCCCGGCACTCCCCCTTCCGCCGATGCTTCCCCCGCCCCCCAGCCCAGGCGCCATCTGCCGCGCCACCATCACCTCCCCCACTGCCTTGATCTCCCCCAGATACACCTCCCCCAGGTGCGCCTGGCGGTGCAGCCTGCGGGGCGCGAAGCCCTCAGTGGCGTCCAGGAGGGCGTGAAAGGGAAAGTGCGGCGACTCAAAGAGCGGCAGCGAGGGGAGCAGCGGGGGGAAGGCGGGCAGTCCGAAGTGCGTGCGCGACAGGGGGGAGAGCAGGGAGGACGGCTGATGGGGGGAAGAGGCGAGAGAGGCGAGAGAGGGGAGAGAGATGAGGGGGAAGGTGGTGGAGGAGGAGATAAGGGGTGGTCGACCAGATGGCTCTGAGGTCGATGAAACATCTGGGAAGCTTCGCGCTTCGCCTGTGAAGCTATTCCCAGAGGTTGCCCCCTCTGACCCCAGTGGCGACCTTCCGCTGCCTGCCCCCTCGGCTCTCGACCCTTCCCCACTTGGCAAGCTTGCCCCTGCAGCCGCCCCCAACGACCCCCCCAGTGCCCCCCTTTCCCTGCCCGACCCACCCTCGCCCCCGCTGCTCCTCCTGCCGAGCCTCCGCCCGGCCTCCGCCTCGGCAACCGAGCCCGCAGGTATGGAGACCGAGAGGTGGTCGCCTGCGCGGCCCTGCACCCCCAGCGCCCCCTGCACGGCCTCCCTAATCCCCCCGAGCTTCAGCAGCACGGCAGACGCGTCCGGGCGGTTCTTGGCGGAGCGCGCCGTGCAGTCCGCGGCCAGGGAGGCGAGCGCTTGCAGCGCGGAGAGGGCGGGCGTGGGGGGGGGAGGGGAGCGTGGGGTCGAGGAGGGGGGGCAGGTGGTGCGCGCGGATGAGGGCGGCGAGGGCGGGCACGTCGAGAAACGCGGGGTGGCCCGTGGCGGGGTCGAGCTGCTCCGCTGGCTGGCCGGTCAGCAGCTCCAGCAGGACGATGCCGAAACTGAGGGGGGGTGGGGGGGAGAGGGGAGAGGGAGGGAGCGCAGTGCATGAGATGAGAGGAGGAGCTAGAATGTGATCATTCCTCTACACAGGTATGTGAGGAATGCACAGCACTGAGTGCCATCAAGTGGTGCTTATGAGCGGTCGTCAAACACGCTCAAGTGTGCTGCTGCTACACCAGTCTGTAACGCCGTAGCACTGACCTTAACGCCGTTACGCTGGCCTTAACGCCGTAGCACCCACCTGTACACGTCGCTGGCAGGGGACGCCCACAGAGCGAGGAAGTACTCCGGGTCGAGGTACGCCACCCGGTTGCGCCGCCCACCAATGGTCGGGGCGAAGGGCAGCCCCTTCACCTCGCCCACGTTCGCCAGATGCGCCTGGAGGGGGGTTGAGGGCGGTGGAGAGCGGTGGGGATGGGTGGGGGAACGATGGGTGGGGCCCATGGTCGCCTAAAGCGACTGAAGGACTAACCGCTTGACCTCGCCCACGCTGGCCAGATGCGCTTGGAAGGGGGTGGAGGGGAAACAGAGGCGGGCCACAAGCGGGGAGAGGGGCCACAAGCGGTGAGAGGGGCAACAAGCGGGGAGAGGGGCAGCGACTGCAGGCCCGGATGATACAGGTCCAGTTGTGAGGTGACTTTTGAGTCGACTCAAAAGTCACCTCGTTACGATGATAGACGTCCAGTTGTGAGGCGCTCAAAACAGGTTGGGCGGGAAGGGCAGGGCAAGCGGTGACAGTGCAAGCTGACTTTGGGCCAGCGCGGCAGCTGCAGAAACTCACATAGGTCCATCTGGGAAGCAGCAGCATATTTCCCGAGTTGACTTGGCGGTGCACCAAGGGGGGTTCCACGCAGCAATGCAGGTGGTGCAGCGCCGCTGCCAGGCTGTGTGCTATGTCCACGCGGTGCTTAATGGATAGGGAGGGAGTGGCGTCTGGGGAAGAGAGTGGTCGAGGGCAAAGGGGGTTGAGTGGAGTGAGTGAAAGAGAAATGTGAATCAGTGAGGAAAGCTTACGATACAAGTAAAGGTCACATTTAAGAACTACCCCTCTGTTCACCCCCCTCTCTGCCGCCACTTCAACCTATAGCGACCCCTGTCTGCTGCTGCTGCTGCTACCTCTGGTGCTGCCTTTGAGTTGACTCAACAGATGGCTCACAACCTCACCTCCTATTGCGCCTCCTGTCCGCTGCTGCAGCTGCTGCCACTGGTGCTGCCGCAGCAGGCATTCCAACAGCGGTTTTGAGTCGACTCTGAACCAACCTCACCTCCTATTGCGCCTCCCGTCTGCTGCTGCAGCTGCTGCCACTGGTGCTGCCGCAGCAGGCATTCCAACAGCGTGCCCCCGCTCCCAGCCATGGCCGCTGCACTCTCAGCAGCATCAGCACTAGCAGCACCACCAGCACCGGCAGCTGCGTCGAAAGAACCACCAGCACCAGCAGCACCAGCAGCAGCAGCAGCAGAAGCGACCTTCCCTGAGCCTCCAGCGGTGGAGCCACCACCCCGCTGGAAGGAGGAGGCGAAAAGGGAAGGGGCGAGGAGCCACGGTGCAGAGTGGTTGTAGACCAGCATGTTCCGCCCGTCCTCCTCCGCCCACCCTACCAGACGCACCAGTGACGGGTGTGACACGTGGCCCAGGCTGTCAATCTGACGTGGAGGGGGAGTTGCCCAGAAAGGGACACGTGGCAAGGGGAAAACTAAGTGGTATCCTAGACCCTAGACACTTTCTATTCCCTTCCTCCCACCAAATCTCTTCTTAACTCCCAAGTCCTCATCCCCCCCTCCATCCCCCACCCCCCTCTCCCCCACTCCTCCCCCCCAGGTCCTCCCCTTCCCCAGAACTCCCTCCCCCAACCCTACTCTGCTCTCCCTCAGCTCTCGCCTGAACGCCTTGATGACGTCATTCCTGTCTGACGTGGCAGCCACCACGAGCCAGGCCTCCCCCCCATGGTGCCCCGCGTACGCGCGCCCGAAGTCCCCCTCCCCCACCTGCTGCGCCGCCCCCAGACCCGACGTCGCGCGGCGGATTGCCCCCAGAGTCAGCTGCTTCGATATGCCTGCGCGGGCAGCCGAACGGGCAACTGAAAGAGTGCAGGGGGGGACGAGGTGGGAAACACAGAATGAGTGGAAGGGTGGAGAGGGAAAGAGATAAGGCACTTGGTCGTAGGGTTACAAACAGGTCTGGTTGCCGCAAGGGAGGGGTTGAGGGATGAGGGAGAGGAAGTAGGAGCAAGAGGAAAGTGCGGCTGTGAGAAGCAGGAGACCTGAGCCTAAGAGAAATGCAGCTGGGAAGCACAAACGAGAAGGGGAAGGCGCACCCCGAGAGCGTGAGAAGATGAGGAGGACGAAGAGGAGGAGGAGGGCGAGGAGGAGGAGGAGGAGGAGGAGGAGGAGGAGGAGGAGGAGGAGGAGGAGGAGGAGGAGGAGGAGGAGGAGGAGGAGGAGGAGGAGGAGGAGGAGGAGGAGGAGGAGGAAGGAGGAGGAGGAGGAGGAGGAGGAGGAGGAGGAGGAGGAGGAGGAGGAGGAGGAGGAGGAGGAGGAGGAGAGGAGGAGGAGGAGGAGGAAGAGGAGGAGGAGGAGGAGGAGGAGGAGGAGGAGGAGGAGGAGGAGGAGGAGGAGGAGGAGGAGGAGGAGGAGGAGGAGGAGGAGGAGGAGGAAGAGGAGGAGGAGGAGGAGGAGGAGGAGGAGGAGGAGGAGGAGGAGGAGGAGGAGGAGGAGGAGGAGGAAGAGGACGAGTAGGAGGAGGAGGAGGAGGAGGAGGAGGAGGAGGAGGAGGAGGAGGAGGAGGAGGAGGAGGAGGAGGAGGAGGAGGAGGAGGAGGAGGACGACGACGACGACGACGACGACGACGACGAAGAGGAAGAGGAGGTAGACGAAGGCGCACCTCGAGAGCGCCTTGCGACGAGGGGGGCGAGGAGGGAGACGAAGACGATGAGAAAGAGGAGAGTAGCGGTATTTGAGCCGACTCAACGGCAAGACGCACCTCGAGAGCGCCTTGCGATGAGGAGGACGAGGAGGTAGACGAAGACGAGGAGGAAGAGGAGAGAGGCCGCACAGAGCGCAACGAAAAGTGTCGTCGCGCGAGACACGGAGTCGGAGTCTGGTCAGCGGGTGGGGGAGGAAGGAGGGAGGGAGGGAGGGAGGGGAGGGAGGAAGAGAGGGAGGGGAGGGAGGGCGGGAGGCAAGAGTATGAGAGAGAGAGAGAGCCAGAAACCTAGTGAAAGAGAGAGGTGACCTCTCTCAGGAATGTAAATGGGAGTTTTAGGAATGTGCCGCAGTTAAGATACAGTGTGTCCGGGGATGAGATGAGTTGAGTCACGAGATTGTGAGCGACTGAAGGGAAAACGCGCCAAGGGTTTCAATGCGGCGGACGTCCGCAGAGAGATACCTATCAGTAGTAGCCGCCTCGCGCTGAAATCTGCAGAAAGGAAAAGACGATCGAAGGAGGAAAGGAGGAGCAGAGAGGAAGAATGAGTTTAGGACGATGGGAGAATAAAGTCGAGGTGGACTGCTCTGCTAGCCTTGCCTGGGAGGGGTTTTGAGGCGCCTAAAGAATAACTGACCTCGTCTGGGATGTGCCAACACGACACATGACCCTCATCACGACACATGATCCTCATCGCGACACATGACCCTCATCACGACACATGATCCTCATCGCGACACATGATCCTCATCACGACACATGATCCTCATCACGACACATGACCCGCATCACGACACATGACCCGCATCACGACACATCACCCTCATCACGACACATGAACCTCATCACGCCACGTGATGAGTCAAATTTTTAGGCGCCTCATTCATCCAACATAAGTTCCAATACCCTTGGCGTGTACACTCGGCGGTGCATTCTTCCTCCGTCAACCAGCTGCCTATTCCGCGCGCCTTCTACATCGCCGCCTCGCGACGAAGATTCCAACGACCCTCTTGCCTATTCGACCCCGTTGCCACGGGCGTCGCTGCCTGTCTGTACTGCTCGACTCGGAAGACACCCGCCTGTCTGCACTGCGCCTAGCAGCCTCACACGGCGAGCGCGCACCTGTCGATCTTGCAGCGGCTCGCGCTGGAAACGCGGCGAGGAGCGCCACGACGACCGGCAGGCGCGCGCGGCCTGCGGAGCATTCCGTCTCGTCGTAAAACTTCCGCGCGACGCGCCGGTTAGTCATTATGGACTCGCGGCATGACTTCCGCCCGATGGTTCCCGTGGATTCGTCAGCCTTACTAGAATGTGCGGATGTCATAGCCTTCTGAGCTGCCTCACGCGAAGCTGTTGGATCAACATTGGGGCTGTCACTGAGATTCCTCGATCGGCGTGCGAGTTTCCGGTATTCTAGGTCTGCGAGAGCTCTACCAAGTAACATATTTTCAAAGCAGCATGTCATGAAGCATTGCCGCGTCTGAGACTCGCGAGCTTGCGAATCTAATTCAATAGCACTACACCTTGCGGGCTAAGCAGGTCGACTCGTCGAAGCGCTGGGTCGTATGAAGAGAGAAGTTCCAATCAAGAGAAAGCCGCAATGAGAGCAGAACCTGAAACTAGTTCTAGCACCAGCAGGCGAAGTCAAGCTATTTTGATGGACAACGAATTCTGAGATGGTGGGTGGGGGGGAGGGTATGGCTGGCTCCCCTTGGGCTTGGCTGGGCGCGAAGCGCGAACAAATCGAGGGATGTGGTGAAATCGAGGGTGATGGGGAAAACCTCTGGGAGAAAATCATTTGCCTGGTTGGAGCTTGGGTCTTCTTCATGGGATGGCGTACAGTACAGTAGCTTGATCGACGGTCCAAGCATGCTGTAATGACGGCATACCAAAAACATCGACGACTCTCGAATGCCACACACCTTGTTGTTCGATCCTTGCCGTCAATTCCCTCACGAAGGGAGAACCATTTAGTGGAGCTGTTATTATTGCCGTCACTGTGTGGTGGCATTGAATCCAACGGACGAGCGCGTCCAGCGGGACGATTTGCTCACTTCCTGCAAAGAATGAAAAGCCCTGCATTTATTCTGCGTACAGGCATGTAAGATACAATGCATTGCAACCAACGAAGCGACTAACTCAAATATACTACGCCTTCATATTTCTAGTGAAGACACATGATGTGGGGAACGAAATATAAGTGATTTGTAAACCCGAAATGGCTAGAATCCATCTCATTTGAAATCGTTTTCATCACAATATGTATACCCCTATGTAACTACTATAAGCGCAAAGTCAAATCTAAAGACCCCATGGGGCATTCCCTAACTCCCATCTTCAAATCTTCCCATGCCATGTTGATGCCGGTGCCGGCTGAAGTAGCAGCAACTGTCCGTGTTCTCATATGAGCTGCTGACTTGAATTTGTAACTGGCACTTCTTGAAACACTCCTGGTGAAGCAATCTTGTGAACCATGGCCCTCTTGAGGAGAACCCGGGCTTTTCGGTTTGTCAAAACAAGCATCAAACCCATGTAACTCGAAATCGGCATCCTCCATCTCGATGCCCTTTGCCACAACGACCTTCGGTAGGCAGTTCAAGTCAGCAGTCACGCCAATGCGCATTGCAGCAAGCACCCCTGCAGACAGCTCGCAGCCTGCAATGTCTGCGCCTCCTTTGCCACTCGCAATACCTGAAGATCCTTCGTCACGCGCATCTGATTCCACACGAGGTGGTTCTGACAGCATTCCCCCACCTTGTGCCCTTTGCACCAGGCGTGTCTGCAGCAGCCGCTCCTTGATAGCCCGCTTCAGCTGCGCCCTCACAAGCCCATCACACGCCCCTCCATTCACCCCAGGGCCCTCGGGACTGGGGATCTCTCCAGCATTCTCCCCTGCAGGGTCCAATGCAGCCCCTGCTTGGGGCCATGAAACAGGCACTGCGTCTTCCTTTGTTGGCGTAAATGGGGGGGTCGGAGGAGCGGCTTCAGTCGCGGAGATATCAGCAGCTGGAGGGGATTTTGAAGAGTTTTGGCGAGCATCATCTGTTTTCGCCGCGGAGGAGTCATCAGCAACCTTGAATCTCTTATAGCCGCGCTGTGGCGAGGTTGGCGCAGGTTTGAGTCGGCGGCTTAGCAGGCTGCTGCTTCCGTTAAGATTGCTGCCGCCGTTCTTGCTGCTGCTGCCACCATTCTTGCTGCTGCTGCGGCTGCTGGTGTGCTTGCGGTGCATGGTCTTGTGGCCTCCCAGCGCGTGCACTGTGGGGAACGTGCGACGGCAGATGGTGCACGAGAACCCGCGACTGCCGCCAGTTATTCCTTTATTGACAGCGTCAGTGAAAGCGACGCCATTCACCCAATGGTTGAATAGTGCGGCAGCCATTGGGTGAGGCAGCACGCAGTGGCGGAATAGCGTACTCTGGCGCGCGGAGTGGGCAGGTGGGGGAGGGAACAGCATCGGCGGCGGGAGCAACGGTCCAGCGACTGCGGCGTTGTTTTCACCTGCTGCGGCAAAACCAGCTCTGCGTGCGCCAAACGCGGCGGCTCCTGCGCCGAACGCGAATGTCGCAGGCAGCTGCAGGCGGGGCGGCCCGGGGAAGCCCGCCATTAAGGGGCAGCGGAAGCGCGGGGCAGTATTAGCAGTGCTCAAAACGACGCCGTCGTCGCGCGCTTTCGAGAATGCGTTGGCGAGCATGAGCGACATGAGCTGCCCGGGATCGTCGGCCTGCGACGGGAGCGCGGAATCGCCAGCGTCGCGTGCGATCTCCCGCGCTGCCAGAGTGGTAATGCCGCGCCTGCGCGCAGTCTGCCGCGTCTGCTCTGGTGCCATCGGAACGTCGTCCGCGTCGCAATGGCTCGGCGCGCCGTGCTGCTGCGGCTCGCGTTTGTGTTTCGCTGAAGTGCTTCCGCCGTCTCCTCCCCGTTCTTCGCCTGGTTCTGCTGCGTCGCTCGGCACCATCTCCGTCACAGCTCGCCGCCGTTTACATCCTCGTCGCTCGGCCGTCAGCAGTGATGGCTGCAGGCAGCCGCCGCCTCTTCGCCGCGAGTCCTGCGGCGAAGTCGCCGCTGTGTCGCCGAGACGCGCATCGTCCGCCGGAATAGACGCCGGCGGACGAGAGTGAATCACGTCTAATCGGAGGGGGGAAACAACCGCCATGGTTCGAGTCGAAGGAGCGCCCCAAGTGATTGTTCCAAAAAAATCAAAATATCTCCACCTTTTGGAAACAAGCCGTCCGAGGTCCAAGGAAACTAGCGGAACGCTGCGTGGAAAAGCGTTTTTTGCTCTACCTCGAATCTCCTGATAAGCTTTCAGGGATTCGAGGCATCGGATACAAAAGACCGAGGCGTGCCGATCACGAAAGAGCGAGAGTCGTGAGTCGCGAGTTGTGAGTCGTGAGTTGTGACCACTCGGAATTATGATGTCGGCCATTGGACGATGACGCCATGATGTCATCATCCCCAGAAAGGCGACATGCTGTCAGCGAATCGACTCGACAAGCCAGCTCCCTCGAGTATCTAGCAGCTGCTGTGCTGCTCGGCTGCCCTCGCCGCCCTGCTGCCGCGCTGGCAGTACTGCTGCTTCGCTGGTGGGTATGGCCACGGAGCACGATGCTGCGATAAGCTCCGCGCACTTGGATTCGGCTACCCACCGCCATGATCCAAGCGCTGCTCTTTCGCAAAAGATCACCAGCGGCAATGACTTCATCACGAGGAGGAAGAGGTTGAGCTGTGAGGTAGTATAACGCCTCGCTACCCACTGGGTCAAAAACGAGGTTACCCAGAGGCGCAGCGGAATGCGTTTCTACACTCTAGGGTTCCGTCCGCAGACGTTACAGGTAGCCTGAGGAATGTTAGTGCGCTCATTGGCCCCTCGGCGCATTGGCACCGTTGCTAACTGTTGCGGCAGAATACTAATTGTTGTGAGTCTATTAGCCATGGCGCGTTGACAACTGCGGCAGAATTGCTCAGCCGACCTGGCGAATCCCGATGAGGCAAGCTGCTAGGGGTTGTTTTGTAACGAGCTTCACCGTGGACGCCTTGTCCACCCACGCTCTAGCGAAGCAGGAAAAAAGGCCAAGGCGTGCCAACACAAACACAAATGCCATGTATGGACTGGAAGACATGAACAGCAACGGCTGATCTGCTTGGAGCTAAAAACCCGACATGTCCGTTGGCTTGCACGTGGCGAGGCGAGTCAAGAAAGGCCAGTTGGGGAAGAGCAGAGGAGGGGTGAGATAAGTGAGGCGTGGCGAACTGCATTCCACCAGCGCCTGCGGCGAACCTCGCCAGTGCGAGAGTTGGCGATAAAGGTAGTAGGGGGCAGGTTTGCTTTGGAAAGAAGGGTGGGTTATAAGGACTCCGCCTAAAAGAAACTCTTACGTGTTTCTCAGCTCGACTCCCCCCGGAATAGTGCTGAAGAATTGCTGATGAGGGATGGGAGAGGAGCTGCATAGTTGGACACAATCTGACTCCAGATTCTGTAACAGATGCATGAAGGTTTCGCGCAACTCGCGGTTCTCGTACTCGCACGGATTAACGGAAACAATAGTTCCGTTTAGACATCCAACGGCCATTATCCATCATGGGTGATCGAGGCACGTGAAAGTATATGGTGCTTGTGTCACGACTGATATCAGTAACAAGCCTTTTCTGTGGTCTGGTACATTGGTGTTCTACAAACTACAAACTTTGAAATTGCTCATTGATAGTTCTACATACAGTACAAGTGACATTAGTTTGCTTTCCCTTTCTTCCATAGTTAGCATGGGATGGGTGATAGTTGTCAGGTTACTCAGGCCAGCGGATCCAACGGCTGAGTTCTTCCAGCGGGTTTGTTTCCTAGGATTATGTGCAAAGTTTATTATGTGCATTGTGCTTACAAGCCAATGAGCTTAGTTACGGTAAAAGAAATGTAGTCTTTGCTTTCCACTCTAGGGTGTGAATGAAGGGGAAAATTGAAAAGAGTAGTTGGGCCACGCCATCAATGACTACACCGCATTGCATCTCAACTCAACCCGCTTTACGCACAACGAGTACCACTAAGCAAACTGCCATGTACTACAAGTGCAAAGTCAAATCCAAACATCCCAAGGGGCATTCCCCACCTTCATTCTCCAGTTCTTCGCATGCTGTACTGTCAACTGAACTGGCAACATCTGTTTCTACTCGCCTATAAGCCGCTGCCATGAATTTGGCACCGCAAGCATCACTTGGAATGCTCTTTCTGGAGCAGTCTTGTACTAAACTGTGGCCCTCATGATGAGTACCCGGGCTTCTGGCTTCGTCCACTGAGATATCAAGCCCCGGTAACTCGCAGCTGGTTGCTCTCGCATCTTGTGTCTGTAGCACCAGATTTGACTGCAGCAGCCGCTCCTGGATAGGCCGCTTCAGCTGCGCCCTCTGAGGCCCCTCACACGCCACCCCCTTAAGCCCGTGGCTCGAAAGACTCTCCCCTAAAGGTTCCCATGCCACCCCTGCAACACGCCACGAGGCAGGCACTGTGTCCACACTGCTTGGCGTATTTGGGGGGGTCGGAAGGGACGCTGTAACTGGGAAGGCGTCTTCAGCCAGAGGGGAAATTGAGGGTTTTTGGGGAGCAGCACCTGTTTGTGCGGAAAAATCGTCAGCGACCTTGCACTTCTTAAGGCTGCGTAGCGGCGATGGTACCGCAGGGTTGGCTTGATGGTTGGGAAGGTTGCAGCTGCTGACCTTGTTCCTGCTGCCGCTGCAACCACGCTTGCTGCTGCCGCCATGTTTGCCGCTGCTGGCGCCATTCCTCCCACTGCTGCTGCTGCCACTGACTCTCTTCCCGCTGCTGCTGTTGCTACCGCTGCCGGCGTGCTTGCGGTGCATGCTCTTGTGGCCACCCAGCGCGCACACTGTGGGGAAGGAACGGCGGCAGATGGCACATGAGAACCCGCGACTCACGGCAGCCACATCCCTCCGGGCCAGATTACCAACACCACTACACCCCAAACTACCGGCGCTAGTAGCCGCTATCACTCGATGCGCCCACTGGCCGAATAGAGCCTCCGACGCAACCATCTCCGCCACTGCCATTCCTGGAGATCCGGGATGCTGAGGGCGAGCCAGCAAGCGGTTGGGGAATGGCATGCGCTGGTGCGGGAGGTGGGCGGGTGCGGGAGACGGGAGCATTTCCGGCGGGAAGAACGGAGCAGCTACGGAGCAACCAGCAACGGAGCCATCACCCGCTGGAGCAAACATGGAGAGTGCCGCTGGCGGCGGCGGGCAGGCCGGGCCAAAAGCTTCCACCATCATGGGACGGCGGAAGAGCGGAGGGGCGTGGTCGCAACGGGTGCGCATCTTGGCGGTCGAGTTCGCGAGCATGAGTGCGAAGAGCTGCCCGGGATCGTCGGCGCGAGACGCTGACGTGGAATCGGCCTCCGCAATGTCCGCCGGCCTTGGAGTCAGCCGCGGCTCTGCAGCCAGAGCAGGCGACTCCGCGTGAATCGCTGACTCCGAGTCAGCAGCAGTGATTCCCGCTTCGGAGAAACTTCTCAGTTCTTCGCCCCCCCCGTCACGTCGCCGCTTCTTTCTGCCATGCGCGACGGCCGTCGGCAGCGGCGAGATTTGCGGAGAGGCCGTCTCGCCGCCGCGACGAGCTGGACAATGCGCATTGGACGACGGCGGAAAAAATGCCGCCACGGTCGCCATCGGGCGAAGGGGCTGTGCGTAAAAGTTGTCTAGGGTTTGAAGGGCGGAGGCGGCCGCCATGGTTTGCTAAGCACCACTGGAGGTAACTCGCGGCAGAGCTTTGGGCGAGAGCTCTCTTCCTCGCTCTCTCTTCTCAATCTCTCTCCCTCTCTCTGCTCCGACCAGCTATTGAGTCAATAGCTGATCTACGGGACGCCTTTCAGGATTTGGTTGATCGAACGCGAAGAACGGGCAGCAACGCGCGGCAGCTATGGCCTTGGATAGAAGGATTCTCGACACTTGAGATTGATGAGCGACTCTCTGTAAGCGAAACCACGAGGCCGTTCTGATATCTACCATGCACTTGCTCTGCTGTCCCGACGGTTCTGCTCTCCTCCGTCGCTACCAGCGCCGCCATGGAAGGCCACGACGGAGTTATCATCGTGGTAATGATTATAGAAACTCGATGGCGGCCAGCAGGGTGCAAAAGGCTCGCTACAGTGAGGCGCCATGAAAGGAAAACGCTGGATTTCTGCTGAGATAAAGTTAGGTTCTCGGAGCAAGCCTGAGGAACGCTAGGTCGATGAATGAGTGCGCCACGGTTGATCGTCCGACGTGGCGACGAGTCGTGACAGGCTCCAGGGTACGCGGCGATACGCACCGAAGCTCGTGAGAGAGAAAAGCGCACAAGACGCGCCATGTCAACATCATGACACGAGATGCCATGCCATGCTTTCTCGTCTAGAACAGGAACAGCCACTAGGCTGTTTGGAGCAGGGCATGCTGTTTGGAGCAGGGCATATCTTATCAGGGCATTTGCCCTGACTTGACTGAAATTATAAGGTAGTTTTTAGACCAGCCCTGATTTTCTCCAGGTTCTTTTTCACCCAGCCCTGACAGAATCCGGGAGGATCTCAAGACGACCCTGGAAACTCAGAGTATTTTTTTTGGTGACCCTGATTTTTCCCACTACCCACAACCTCCCCTTCCCGATGCCCTTCGCTAGAATACAAGTTTCTCCCACTCTCTTACCACCCGTCACTCTTCCTAGGACCCGGCTACTAGGCTACTAGATGGGAAGGAGTACTTCTCACACACCCCTAGAACACATGTGACTCCGATGAGCCGCGGAGTGTGGAAAAACCTAAAAAAGAATCCTTGGAAATGTGCGCCCTCCGAGCATTTCTTCGGTCGGCCCTGAAAAATCAGGGCAATGTATATTCGGACCTTGGGTTTTCATGGTGAAATTCGAGGGGAGCCCTGAGCGCCAGAGCTGCTAAAAAGCCTAACATAAGCTCTGGTTTGGAGTAGATAGTAGCAAGGAAGCTTTACTAGAGATCATATGATGGCTTCCGATCAAGAAGCACACCATTATATACACAAAGCCCGTAGTATTTTCACACCCAGTATTTTCACAGGGGGTGTCGCTAAGAGGGTATTCACCTCCCGAAAGCAGCTCCTGAAGGGTATCCATATCTGGTCTTCTAGAGCTGCTTTCGGAGGGTGAATACCCTCTCGGCGGCACCCCTTGTGAAAATACTGGGGGTGAAAATACCACGGGCTAGGTGTATTGCATCATAGCATAGTCTTTCTTGTACTGTAATCTCAAAGATATAGGCGCATAGGAGCTTATAGGAAATACCTAACAAAAGTGGCATGCGCTTGTGGTCGAATAAAATATATAAGCCCAAGGCTTACGAAAGGGTTTTTAAGGGAAAAATATTTGAGCATATGAAAGTGTAGTTCTTGAAAATTGTGTTCTAGCGCGTATGTTTCCAAATGGTAGCATGTTGACAAAACGCAAGAAGCTGGCTGACAAAGCTTCCGCTACAAGATCCACCCAGGAATGACTGATATCGCGAGCCAAGTAGAGCCAGCACCGCGAACGAGATTCGCGCTTCTGGTTCCGTTTAACAGAAGTTTTTACAGAAATGTGATGCGCCTATAGGAAATACATTTTCAAAAACATGGGTGCGCTTATAATGAAATAATAGATATAAGCGCACTTGCACTATATAAGCGCAATGGGCCAAATAAAGGGATGCGCCTATATCCGGGAGATTACGGTAGTGCTATTGCTGATAACGTTTGTAGAAATAATGACCAATAACTTTGCTGGAAGAAACCATGGCTGTAGTTGTTTTCCGCTAGGCGCGGTGTCAATTATTCTGCTGCGCTGCTTGGCTGGGTTGCGTGCTCTCTGTAGTTGTTCCCAAGGTTGGAAACTCAGATTGAAGGGTTGAGCAATTCGAGGCTGGATTTAACCTTCGAATTCCCCAAGGGTGTATTTCAAGGTTGGGTTTCAACATCGCATTAAATTTTGCTGAGCTGGCGAAACTTTGTTATACGAGTTTGCCGGCGTCTTGTTACATTACTCCCCTCTCCAACAATCATTGTCGTCGATGCTTGGGTAGCTGTTAAGTAGTTGGAAAGGGCACGTTGAGCATGCTGGAGGCTTGTCTCAGGAATCCGAAGGTTGTGAGAAGAATCGTGGCCACGCCACTTAACAAGGAAGAAAGTGCCATGAGGAGAAGTTTAATGAGAGGATTTTTTCAACTTAAAAAAGGTCAGGTCTTGGGGTGAACATAGGAGGACATTGAGATTTAGGAGCGAAAGGAAAATGGGTTGGTGGGAGATAATAAGGATGGAGTAGAAGAACATGGAAATGTGTATGGATGTTGATGTGTGGAGGTAGTTTCAAGCGATAGGTAACATGAGAGAGGACTTGAGTGATAGAAAAAGGGCCAATAAAACGGGGAGCAAGTTTACGGGTAAGACTAGATTTTAGTAATAACAGATTTGCACTTGAGAGAATGACTTGGTCACCTTCATGAAACTAGATGTCGCGAGGATGTTGGTCAGCATACCTGATTATGCACTCTTGTGCTTTCAGTAAAGATGCTCCTGCTGCTGCAATAACCTTCGCGTGGGTGGAAAGGAAGTTAGCTGCTGCTTGAGTGTCAGGAGTGCGTACAAGGGACGAGGTTGCTGTCCTGTGATAAGGAAGAAAAGAGTTTGGCCGATGGCAAGATTCACTGTGCTGTTGAAGGAGAATTCGATTGAAGGCAGGTGCATTTACACATGCACATAGGGCATCTTCAAGGTTTTGATTCATTCTCTCTGTCTGCCCATCGAACTGAGAATGATAAGCAGCAAAGAGGCGAATCTTGCTGCCCAGTCGTCGAAAGAGGGATTGCCTGAATCTGCCGACAAATCGCGAGCCACGGTTACTGACTAGGATATGAGGAATACGATGGAGACGTACCACTTTCTTGAAGAAGAGATTAGCTACAGCTTCAGCAGTTGCAATAGTGGAGGTAGGGAGGAAGTGAGCCATCTTGCTAAGCTTATCGACTGCAGTGAGGATAGCGTTGTTATGGGAAGAGGTGCGAGGGAGATCAGTGATGAATTTGAGTGTGACATGACTCCAGGAAAGTTGAGGAATTTCCAAGGGGTGTAGCAAGCCGTAGGGTGCTGCATTGCGAGCTTTGTTGCACTGACAAGTATGACAGCTGCGTACGTAGGAGCAGACGTCATGAGAGAGCTTGGGCCAGAAAACGTTTGTAGAGATGGCTGCAAGAGCGACCGTTGTGATTGGAGGACGAGCTCTAACAAACCTGGATCTGTCAGACCTCTTCAACAAATGCGCAGAGCAGGGTCCACATAATCGTGAAAAAAAACTTTTGGATTTGAAATCTGGCCATTCATGAAACACCAAATTGTGTAACGAAACTCGTTTGCAAATACTATGTAGAGTGTTTGAGAAACACACCTCGACTAGTTTAGGCCGTGGTGTTTACACATTGCGCAACTCGGTCAAGTTGGGCAGTCTGAGTTTGTTACGATTTTCGTATATTTTTCGAGGTTCCCGCTCCACCACGGGCCCTTATTTTCGTCAAAACCACGACTTGACAGAATCTCGAAAACCTCAAATGTAAACAACTAGACCCTATTATTAACATATTGCACTGTTTATCGTAAGAACATGCAACTTTGTGTTGAAACTAGGGTTGACATGCGTATGACATGACGGACGATATATGCTTGCAGCATACGCCAATGCCGCCGACAATGAATAACTCATAAGAAACAGAGCTCCAATATTCATAGAAAATATGTAGCCTCGTTCTCCCATAGCATACCGTCATTATGCCATATACGCCATTTTTAACGAGCCGCATTTTGGGAGTCTCTCGCATATGACTTGTATAGGGTAGTCTGGTTACCTAGTTGGCATTTTTCAATCTGAAATGGGAGACCATTGCTGCTATTGCTATTGCTGCTGCTGTTTTTTTTGTTTTTTTGTTTTTTTTTTTTTTTGGGGGGGGGGGGGGGGGGGGGGGGGGGGGGGGGCATTTCTTGGGAAACAGTGTAAGTTCAGAGAACATCCAGCTGCACATTTCGGTGGGCCTCTGTAGGTTGGGTCGTTTCTCATGAGTTCGAACCGATGGGCTTGTAGATAGACATTGTCATCTAATTAATGGACGAAAGGTGTATGTGTCCCTGTGAGGTGCTGCAGGATCCCTGGGGATATTGCGACCTCGACTTCAGGGCCGGAGGAATCATCATCAATGGAGTTTGTGCGAGAAGTGATGAGTGCGATGTGGTGGAGACGGTGGGGATCATCAGGCCCGAGTGAAATCCGATCGCCGCGAATACAAGGTCGTGGCATCTGACTCTCGATTCGGGAAGCACGCGTGTGTGGGAACCGTCGGGTTGGTTGCTCCTCCCCCTTTTTGATTCTATCTGGAAGAGCCTTCGATCGAACCGCCACTATGCACCGTGGGCCATCATGCATGAGCAGGCCTGACGCACATGAAAGTATCTCCTGCTTGCGTCATAGAACGTCATATGAAACGCCCGAGAAACAGGTCTTCGTGCTCCAGAGGGCAATATATCCATGTAAAAGTTACACATCGTTCCACATATATGTTTCATACATTATAATAAAAAACCAAATACCTCGTTCGCATAACCAATCTCGTTTGATATGTGAAGTCCCACACCATCCGAGTGTATGTAATGTTTTTTTTGGGGGTTGCGGAAAAGCCTATTGCAATCGATCGAACATATTTTTCTTATATTTTTTTGGGTTGCGAAGCAACCTATTGCAATTGATCGAACATAATCTTTTTTTTGGGTTGCGGAGCAACCTATCGCAATCGATCGAACATTTTTTTTTTGGGTTGCGGAGCAACCTATTGCAATCGATTGGGCTGGTTTTTTTTTCAAGTTTGTGAAATAAAAATCAAATGTTTGTTGTGATGGAAATAAAACATTTTATGCATAATAAAGTCTCATCATGAAATGCTCCGCAACCCTAAGACGATCTCGTCGCCTCTTGTTTGGGTTGTGGAGCAACCTATTGCAATTGATCGAACAGATTTGTTTTTCGAGTTTTGGTGGTAGAAAAATATAAACTCAAAAATTGAAAATGGTCTTTAAATTACTAGCATTTGAAATCTGAATCTAATTGGTTCTTGTTAAATTATATAAGTTATTATATAAGTGTAGGCTTGGTAGATATTACTGAACAATACTGTAGAGGGTACTCCTTGTATCCCTCTCTCTTCTTTCCTAGTCCTTTTTTTTTTTTCTCTCGACATTCTCGTCTACCTCCTAGATCTAGATCTCACGCCAATTCATGGCTTCACCTATTCCTACCTAGCCTACCTTTACGACATGGTTTCAGAGCAGGACGCCCTTCCTGGGCCTGCTCTCCACGCTTCCGCCGCGTACTCGTCCTTACCGTGCCGCCGTCGCGGCCTTCTGTCCGTTTGTCGCCATGGCGGCCTTCTGCCTGTTCGTCGCCGTCGCGACCTTCCTACTGCATGCCGCCATGGCACCATTTTCAAGATGCCGCGGCGGCCCCTGCGTGGCTGCGACGTCGGCCTGTTGCCGTCGCGCACGACCTGCGTCGCTGCTGGAAATGCAGCCCGCCCGCTCGCCAGTAAGCGTCGCGCCAGCAATGGCGCCGCGCTGAAGATCTGAATCCCCGCCCCTTCCCCCTTTCCTCTGTCCCCTCCTCTTTGCCACAGCCGCCGTCAGACTCTCGCCGGTCGTTCCCCTGCTGCGGAGTTTGGACACGGCGCCGGAAGGGCGGGAGCCGCTGCCGTCACCGCCGTCGTAAGCCGAAGCCGTCGCGGTCGCCGCTGTTGTCGCCGCAGGCCTGTTGCCGCCGCACGCCCGTCGTCGCCGTCGCTGTCGCCGCTGCCGGGACTGCTGCCGTCGCCATCTCCAAGGCCTTGGGGTTGGCCCTGTTGGAGTCGTCGTGGCTGATGGGAATGGGGGTGCTAGGTAAGGGGGTGTGGAAGTGTGTGGGTCCTTCTACTACCAAGCTTAGAGGGTGTGTTAAATTATATAAGTTATTATATAAGTGTAGGCTTCGTAGATGCTACTGAACAATACTGTAGAGGGAACAACACCCCTCCTTGTATCCCTCTCTCTTCTTGCCTAGTCCTTTTTTTTCTCTCGACATTCTCGTCTACCTCTTAGATCTAGATCTCACGCCATATTCATGGCTTCACCTATTCCTACCTAGCCTACCTTCACGACAGTTCTGGTGTAAGTTACAATAGTGTAATACATATTTATGCATATTACACTATCAATTTTGAGCGGAAGCACTGATGAGAAATAGATGTCAATGCCTTTGTTTCCTATCATATCTCATGGCGTTTATTTGTCGAGACAAAAATAGGTTATCGCCTCGCCAACTAAAAGGGGGGAGCAAAAAGCCTAGTTCATCAAAACAAAATTAGGCTATCGCTTCCCCAGCTCTAGCCGGGGGGGGGGGGGGAAGCTTCAAACCTAATTGCCATGAATAAAGTACAAACAAAAAGCAACACAATTTGTGAGTTCCAAAAAATGGTTTGCGCTCACCATTTCTAGTTCAAATGAATGCACTCAAAGAGAGAGTCAAGAACCTTGCTTGAAGTGATGAAAAAAATTCCACATTTTGAAATACATGAAGTGTATTACTGCTACTAGTGACCGAGATCAGTATTTACAGAAGGCGCAGAAAACAGTTTGAAACGGTTGCACTGAAAAATAAATGCAGTTCAGAGAAGAATTAGTAGTCACGTTGCGTTGCCCATAACGATGCAATGCAAGTTAGTATCTTCAACGAGCTGAAACTCTGTAGTAAGCTTTTAAAAAAATCGCGGAATCAAAGAGATAGAGTAAGATAAAAACAGAAAACGGGCACAAAACAAATGGGGAGAGAGATTGAATGGAATGGGCAAGTAAGGTTGAGATAGGAAACGAAACTGAAGGTGGCACAAGGATTGAATGGAACGGACAAAGGAGAAAAACGAAGAACTGAAAATAAAGGAGCCGGCGTAGATGGAAGAGGGAGATATGGTAGGGGAGGTGAATGGAGGGAAGGAAAGGGATTGTACTTACCGCATCTTCAAGATGCAAACTAAGGATGCAAATATGGAGGGAGAGAAAAGTAAGAACTCGATGCAAAGGAAGGGGAAGGCTTGGAGTATAGAAGAGAAAAAGCGGATGAGAATCCGTACCGAGTATCTATCTTGAAAGAGACCATTTACGTTTCCTCTACTAGCTTGAGAAAAAAACGAGAGAAGAAACATAGAGAAACTAATAAGATACGACTGCACGGAAACGTCATTAAGCCACTATTTATACTGACCTGGAGTACTCTATCGTACAGCTATGATAAGAAAAGGCAGTAGTAGCTGCTGTCACAAAGCTGATAATCACGAGATCTACGACTACCGATTGCTGGAAGTGGGGAAGAGAAAAACGTGAGACTGAATTATAGAGGAGGAAGAATAGAGCATAAGACAGTCACGTTTCTGCAGCTCTGAACCCTCGAGCGGAGCAGCTGCGTTTAAACAGCCACGGTTTTGCAGCTCTGAAATGTTTTTTGCGGTCAGAAAGTGCCCCATCGCATTGAAAGTCGCGTAAGAGTGTTATTTAACCAAAACTATCAGTAGTGTAACTTCGAAATTCGAGTGTGTAACGCGTAATGCATACAGTGGCCAGCTCAGGGGTTTTGCCTCTTATTGACGGGAAAAAAAATCAGCATTCTGTGGCGAGTGTAGCTAGGCTGGTATCATTGTCACGTCGGACTTTATTTCCGTCTGGCAGTTACACGTGACGAGCCTCGCCACTGGGCAAAAAATAACAACATTGCCAGGTGGCCAGATTCGTTCGCCACAAGTCAACAGTGGCCACAGTCAGTCAACACATAATAAAACAAAATGAAAACGAAAACTCCCGACGGCTGGGCATTTGGCGGAAATGTGAAAAAACAATCCAAACGCACACAAAACAAAAGACACATTACGGAAACTGGGCTACAGTTGAACAATAAGGAACAAAAAAAATTATTCAAGAAAAACTGTACAAGCAGAAATGAACAACAAAAGAAACCAATTCAAACAGCGTGGCACGATTTTAGAACAGTAACGGCAGATGAGTAACTTAAAGCGCAGATTTATATAGTATAAATATATGTACAAAGTCATTGTGATTTCACGTACTTTTATCAATGCACTATGACACAGATTGTCTATTGACTACTTATATATTACAGTGGCGGAAACAATTGTCCGTATGTTTTGCATACATTTGGGTTTTTAGGCTTTAAGACAACTATACATTGAGCCTTAATGATTAATGGTGGTACGATTCGGGACGGGAACATAGAGGATGTGTTCATAGCACAAATATCCAGAATAGGACATTGGATTTAACTTATATCCCGAAAGATATACAAAGGGTACATCCGGACAAATATTTCCAAGCAGAGAGAGCAAACCTCGGAATTGCGTATTTGGTACATAGCCCA